CGGAGCCGGTAGCGCGGGCCTGCCGTGGCGCCTAGGCGGGGGCCGGGGAGGGGGAGCGTCGTTCCTGTGGCGTTATTTGTAAACCCTCTGTAAACCTGCTGCGGGCAGGGCACGGAAACTTGGCTAGACATCTCCCTGGCAACTCTTCCCGTCGTTTGTTTGGGGTTTTTATTCAATACTAGGATAGTTCTCTAAGTAAAGAGCGAGGAAGGCTCCAGGGAGACCTCAGAGCCCCTTCCAGTGCCTAAAGGGGCTCCAGGAGAGCTGGGGGGGACTCTGGGTCGGGGAGGGGAGTGATGGGGTGAGGGGGAACGGTTTGACACTGACAGAGGGGAGATTGAGATGAGATCTGAGGAAGAACTTTCCTGTGCCGGCAGTGATCCCCTGGGGCAGGTTGCCCCGAGAAGCTGTGGCTGCCCCATCCCTGGAGGTGTTCAAGGCCAGGTTGGACGGGGCTTGGGGCAACCTGGGCTGGGGGGAGGTGGCCCTGCCCAGGGCAGTGGGTGGAACTGGATGGGCTTTAAGGTCCCTTCCAACCCAAATCATTCTGTAATTCTGTGATTCTATTGTATGAATGAAGAAGTCCTCACTAATTTACTCTTCTTTCATACCACAGTCCTGAAGGAAATACGAGAAGATTGAAAAGTGCATGTGTGGATTATTTTCAGAAAACTGGGGAGACGACACTAAAAACAGGTTTTGATTTCACAGCTCCTTGTCGGAGTACCCGTTCGACAGTGAAAAGAGACAGCACAAAAGCTGCAAGATCTGTCTCAGAGAACGAGGATTGTCACAGTCAAGTGCAAGACCTCAGCATGCAAAATTGTGAAGAGGATAGAATTCAAAACATTCAGGCTGGAAATGGACAGTTGGAAGACATTACGTCCACTCTAGAAAGCGAAGATTTGATCATGAAAGGCATAAACCCAGAGGACTGTTTAAAAACCAAGAAAAAAGGGGCAGGTGGAAAAGGTGCTCAGAAAAAGAAAACGGGAAAGAGCTCAGAAAAGAGGAATCAAGATAATACCCAAAACAAGAGACAGAGAAGAGTGTGTAACAAACAGGAAACTGAGTGCATTCAAAACAAGAAATTGTGCAGAAAGACAGATGCACGTGTCGCTGATTGTCAGGGCATAGGTGATCAGAATGCAGACCCTATGGACGCAAGAAGAACTCTCTTAAGAATGTCCAGGTCACGGTCAGACAAACAGCTAAGGTCAGTGGCAGCTCGCTCACAAAGGGAGTTGGAGAGCCTAGCAGAGGAGGAGAGTGTGGAGACAGGTTCTGACGGCACGTCTTCTGCAAAATCTGAGGAGAAAAGCAATGGATTGAAAGTAGTGAAAGGGACAGATCAAGGGAATCCAGGTAACCAGGATTTTAAATCTGGCACTGAAATGGATGCTAACGTCTTTCAGCCGTGTGACAAGAAAAGCTTCACAGCAGTTAAAATGCCACCAGGTATTTGTGTGGTTTTGAGCAGAATATTATCCTGACGTTCTGCTGGGGGCTCTCCTGACTACATGAGCAAAGTGTTCCCTTTCAGGGCAAGCTGCTTTGATGTCTGAAACTATCTCGTTTATTTATCCAACAGCATTTAACTTTGTGCAGATTTATTCACAGCTGGAACTTACTCTACTGATCTTTTTAGCTGTATAGTATAATATAATAATGTTCGTTACCTTTGCTGCACTAACTCTTTTTATGTTTTCGCACAGCTGGTCAATTTGATTCGTACAAAAAGACTAGTTTTAGCTTGTTTCATGTGCTAGAATCTGTTTCCTCAGACTGTGACAAAGTAGCAGTTTATCTTCCACAGGTTTTTCATAGAGTTGAAATATAGCGGAGTACTGGAGGGAATCTAAAGCACATATATGTTCTGTACACCTACAAGAAATCCTTGCATTTCCATCACAACGTAAAGGGAAATGGTGTATGAAATGTGACAGCGCAATACTTGGGTGTTTTTTTTCTTTTTAATGCTAAAGTATTATTTCTTTACAGAAGAGTCTATCCCACGAACGCAAGTGGATAGGAGGAAAACGAGTCCATATTTTTCAAGTAAATACAGTAAAGAAGGTATAATATTCTTTAGGGAAATAAAACTTTTTTTATTAGGGGAGGAATAGGATGGCTTAAGATGAAGTGATGTTATGCAAGATCTCCAGTTTTAGGCTGGCCGTGCTCAGGTGGCATGAGAGAGCTCGGCTTACTGCACTAGCGCTGATCTCGTCCCATTTTAAACCTTGGTCGTTTGTATCTTGCAAGCAACCATTAAGGCTGGTATCCGATGCCTTGGCAGCTGTGAGGTGATGGGGTGACTGGGCTTTGGGCAAGCTCTTCTCAGACCGCTGAGGTGTCTCCCCTGTCAGGGGGAAACCCTGTACCCTGTGGCTGCTGCTCTGCCCTTACCCAGGAGCGTGGCGGTAGCTGGGGAGGGTCTGTCTCCTCAGAAAATACACGTAATAGGAGGGGGGGACACAGGCAGCCTTGACTCTTGCAGTCTGTGCCAGGGGATGCACAGTCCCCTGCAGTTCTGTAAAACTTCTGCGTGAATTGCCATTGCTCCATATGGTGCCCCCACAAAGATGAATCTGCTGTGAAAGGTCTTCATTTTTTAAAAATTGTTTTCCTTTAAATAGGTAACTCCGTCCTTTACTGCCCAATAAATTTTTCTGTATTGCCTCTGTTACAGCTCCCAGCCCACCTAGAAGGAAGGCCTTCAGAAAATGGACTCCGCCACGTTCTCCTTTTAATCTGGTCCAAGAAACGCTTTTCCATGATCCATGGAAACTTCTCATTGCAACGATATTTCTCAATAAAACTTCAGGTAACTAGAGAAATACAACTTCATATTGGGTAAATGTTGGGGTGGTGTTAGAGAGCCAGAACAGCTGCCATTTGTAATGGCATTAATGAAGGAATAAATGTGTATTAACTTGTGTCAGTGTAAAAAAAGGAATCTTTAATTTGTAACTCTTGCCTCTGAAAAAGCTCACTTCAAAAAGTGTGCCCTGATAGTGAGAAAAGAGAATTGCCTGCACAGTCTTCTGTTCATGATGATTTCTTTCACTAGGTAAAATGGCAATTCCTGTGCTCTGGGAGTTCTTTAAGAAGTATCCTTCTCCTGAAATAACCAGGACGGCAGACTGGAAAGAAATGTCAGAACTGCTCAAACCTCTCGGCCTTTACGAACTCAGAGCGAAAACGATCATCAAGTTCTCAGGTGGGTTTTCCTGAGTATGTCTGTGGAAGGCTCTAAATTCTACTGGCATGGCAAACAACGTTCTTTTCAAACAGTGCTCTGTGACTTTTCCTTTGGTTCGCCAAATATTGGTGGTGGTTTGTTTTATGCAGCTTTGGGATACGTTGGTCTTACATATGCAAAGCTGCTGATCCTGTTGTCTTAACTGAGCATGAAGTAACATACATAATGAGTTCTGCAGGAGACCTGTGTCTGGGAGACTTCTTGTGAGTGGAAAAAGGTATGAACACCTGCAAGCCCGATGTGTTTTGCAGCACTATGCTAAGGTGGCTCTGCTGTGTTTTGCATCAGGTGACCTCCAGAAGGCCCTTCCAGCCAGAATTTTTCTATGATTCTGGTATTTTCTATACTAAGAATAAAAGTATTCCTCTGTGGGTTCTGAGGAGAGAGATTTAATTAAAACTCACCCACAGTGATTTGATTAAAAGGTGTTTAAGATGTATCCTATAGGGATTCATCGCCTCCTTTCACCAGGAAATAGCTAAAACTCATGTTTTACGTTTAAAATGTTCCAAAGTGGAGCTGTGTTACAACAGCAGAGAATCGGGAGTTCACCCAGAGTTGTTTTCTGCGACCTGCCTGCCTGCAGGCAGTGAAGTCCGTGACTGTACGTTGCAGATGAGTACCTGAACAAGCGGTGGAAGTACCCTATTGAGCTGCACGGGATTGGGAAGTATGGGAACGACTCCTACAGGATCTTCTGTGTCAACGAATGGAAGGAGGTGGGTGGTTTGGCCGTGCTGCCAGGGCTTGGTCCGCAGCGTGCTGCCATCCTTCGGCTTCACTGGGCTTGTGCCTGTGGACTCCCTTGGGTTTAAAAAAGAAAAGATAGCAATTTTAATATCTTCAGTAGGTTGAATTCCCAGAACGTACCTTTGACAAGTCTGAACCTGTAAATGAAGACTTGTGTCGCCTTGATTTTTTTTATGCCGTTTTCCACTTTCTCTGTGTTCTTTTTCTTCTTTCCTTGATGTGGGGGTGAGAGTCTCTTCCCTGCTCTGTTAAGAACCGGTTCCCTGTTTGCTGCCAGCCAGGTCCTGGCATCTCTCTGGGATTGGTGTTGGGGGGGCCTTTGCCCTGCCAGGGTCCTCTCGGTGGCTGTGAGGGGCAGTCGGGGGCCGTCTTGCTCTCGGGTGTAGGACCCCCCTCCTGATTCACGGGGAGGTGGGGGGTTTCCGGGCTGACCCCGGACCATAGTCCGTGGCTTGCGGAGGGAGCCTGCCGCAGCATGGCACTTCACTGCTCCCCACGGGGGAGGGAGGGACCCTGAGCTGGGAGGGGAGATACCTCAGAGTGGTGAGGTGTTGTAAAAGGGAAGTATTTGAGTAAATGTTAAACACTTTGACGATGTTTTAGGTGCAGCCACAGGACCACAAGTTAAATGTGTACCACACGTGGCTCTGGGAGAACCGGGAGAGGCTGAGCATAGACTGAGAAAAGCCGGTAATGCTGATCCTCACCGTCTGGCTCGCAGTGCAGTGGGTGTCCTTGCAGTCTTGCTCTGATCATCAGGTTCTTAATTTAAATATTTGTGTGATGGACCACACCGGTCATCATTGTAATTAAATGTTTAAAATCTCTGTATTTTTGTAATAAATGTATCCCCATTTTCTTAACGTCTGTTCATTGAGGGCTCCGCAGGCGAGTCCCAGAGCTCCTCGGTGGTGGCTGGGGTAAGCGAGTGCCGCTTCCACCCGCAGCCACTGTCATGTGTCCGCTGGTGGGGGTTTGCCGAGCACCGCTGTCCTGCTGCCTGCTTCCCCGCTCCGCTTTCTGCGGAGCCGCCTGAATGTTAGAGGTGGACAAGAATTGGGTCTCAGAGGTGAGCAGCGTGATCCCACCTTCCTTCTACTGGACAAATGCTGCCAAAGCGGCAAAGAACTTTCCAAAAATTCAAGAAACTGTTTGCATTGGTGGAGAAAATTTTAGAGAGGAAAAATACAGCAAAGTAGAGCACAACGTTCCTTGTCTCACTTAAAAAGCATTTAGATACTGCAGTGATGGGCAATGTATCAACACTTAAAATAGCTTCACAAGCTGGCATTTCCCATGTAAATAATGTAAAATAATGACAGTGCTGTGGTTTAACCCCAGTTGGCAGTACCACACAGTCGCTCGCTCCCCCAGTTGGGATCGGGGAGGGCATCAGAAGAGTGAAAGTGAGAAAACTCGTGGGTTGAGATAAAGACAGTTTAAGAGGTAGAGCAAAATCCGCACATGCAGTGAAGCAAAAGAATTCATTCCCTGCTTCCCAGGGGCAGGCGGGTGTTCAGCCGTCTGTCATGTGTAACGGTGATGGGAATGTTGTCTTACAGCTAAAATTTTAGCCCGTTTTGTTAGCATTAACGTTCGCTAGGCTTGGTAAGCATCAGCATGAGCTGAACTTTTGATACAGCGTCCTGCACGCGTGCGTTTCGCTGTGTACTTGGCCAGATGGTCGGCCTTGGGGCTGTTTCTTTACAAGTATCAGGACGATGAGTTGAGGAACTTCTAAGATGTTCTCAGGGACGATGAGGATTCTATCCTTGAATCCACAGTGAAAGAACTCCTAATCAAGGACAGCCGGTATTGTTATTCTTGAAGTGAAACATCCTGGAGCATACGGACCCTGAAAATGCTGCTACTCTGCGTGTTTTGAAACTTGGCGGAAGAGTGGAGATTCTGAGTGTCCTGACCTGAACGACCTTCATTTTAATACTCAAAATCCTGCCCGTAGCTCGAGAAGGCCCTGTCCCAGGCGCAGGCCTTTCCCCCGAGCACGCGCAGCGGCCGTAACTCCGTTGTGCGCTCGTGTGGAAATGACCGACCCGGGACAGGAGGGGCCGATGTGACGATGACGCTGTAAAATGTGAATATAAACCGCGCGAAGAGTCCCGTTTGGTGTCATTAGTGGAAACGCTCCACCGCGCACCCCGGCGCCAGAATAAAGCACTCTTTACCCGGAAGAAGCGAACCGGTGAGCTGGCGAAGGCGGAGGTTGTGACGTCACCGGAGCGGCGGCC